ATAACCAATTTACTTTTGCATTTAACTCCTCTAATTTTTCGTTCTTGCTTAGTTAGGTTTCTCCTATCTAAAAAATTATAGCAATATATCTATAGTAATAAGCTAATAATATTGCGAGACTCTTGCGCAAGACCAAGACTGAGTTTGCAAGACCAAGAGTCGTCTTGGTCTCGCATTTGGGCAACACTAACCCCCTCCCCTCACCACACCTCTCCTCCCGGAGATTCGCCTGCGATAAGGTATCTAGTGCGACACGCTATATTTATTTGATAAATAACTATTTGGAAATAATAAACCGCTGTGTTATAATTTGCAGGGTTTTTTTTGGTTTGTAACCGATAACCTACAAAACCAAACTTTACTAAATTTCAGTCCAATTAATTCCTTGAACGGAAGGTTTAGGTTATAATAAAAACTATATTTTTTTATGAATCAGTAACCATAAACGTCAATTAAATTAGAAATTGGCAGTGGGGATGGCATACCGAATGCCCCTATATCGATACTGTCATATAAATTAATACCGGCCTATAATTATCTATACCATCAAAATATCAGACTTAAAATATCGATAAATATTGATTCTCTAGCATACAGGAGCATAAAAAAATATGTTATTTTCCTATTTAAATTAATTATTGAAAATACCAATTCTTTTACTCTCCTTTGTAAAATTAATTTTCTAATTTCTGTCTATCTTCGCCATCTCCAGTTTTATTTTACACAAATATCCATTCAATCAATTACGTCTTCCAGTCACCCATGATCGGATTCAGCGAAATGCTAATTTATTTGCATCCTACATAGATTTCTTCGACAATTCGTGGCCTAAGTTTGAGAAGATTCTGGGCAGTTTGAGAATACTGAGTGAGAATTCAACTCTACTCAGGTTATCAATAGTCGATTTTATCGAAATATCGATGTTTTCCTCTACTACATTCTATAAGAAACAGGCAAGATAAGTTTAGATAAGACAAGATAAGTAATTTTTTTCAAACAATAAGATTCTATATAATTTCACAAGTTTTTCGAAAACGAATTTGAATGAAGGTTTTAATTTTAATTTTTAAATTAAAATATCAAAAGGACGATATCTATATTTAATTTTAATTTTTAAATTAAAATATCAAAGGACGATATCTATAGGCAATAATATCGAAGTATATCCTATCACTCATTATTGGAAACTATCGATTATTGGAAGGAAAATACGATATTTCGATAACATCGATTATCGATGGCCATACCTAATCGGCAGGTTTTTTTTTTTTTTTTTTTTTTTTTCTTACCTCCAAAATGTTTTGAAACAATTACATATATAGTATACAATAATACAATATATACATGCAATAAATTCCTTCCAATAATCGGCAGGTAATCACTGCTTGATGTAAATATTGTTGGTGTTCACTGTAAATAATGAGAAGGAAGAAACTTTTACGCATGATTGAAAACAACAAGCATATAAAGTTAGGAAGGATGTTATTTAATAAGTGCTAATGAAGGTTAGTAGCTAAATAATAAATAGATTAGGATAAGATAAGACTAAATCAAAAACTCAGATTGGAAAAATATTACATATTTCGAATAACTAAAGAAGAAATGGCTGTAATTAACGCTAAAAGGGTAACTTTAAAATAAAAAAATAAGATAAATATGAAAGTAATCCCAAAAGATAATCAGTGAGCCATTACTGCCCCCTCCACCTCCCTCCCCTCCAAAGCTGATGAGCAGCCCAGGTTCCGTGAGGAGGAGAAGGAGGCTTTAATTCCCGACAGGTTAGCTTACCCTTCCAGTTATTTACTTTTTGCATCACGAATGATGGGGGGGGGGCGTGCCTACCATGCAATATCCGGTCTATGTCGTTATGGGGGATTTAGGGTCCCATTACCTGATTGAAATTCCGGGATGTAATAGTAAGAAGGGCATCAATTTCAATTTGAATTCTGGGTCAATTGGAAATGGTCATAGTATCAAGTTAATAATAATTTCATGCCGAGGCCCAGTTCTTAACATACTTACAATTATTAATGGTCGGCTCAGAGAAATAATTGATCAATTGAAATTTCTGCTGAGATAAAGTTGTTTGCTTTGTACCTATGCCTAATTAATATTGTATAATTAACGAATAATTACAGAACAATTACATAATTTTGCCAACACTGTAGCCTGACCTCGCAGCAAGTAGATTGTGAACATCCACAATAATTACAGTCTCTCACTTTTACCACCAACAATTCAATGTAAAAACATACCAACTATTACTGTTACATATTAACTATATAGTGAGGAAAAGTATTCTCAATACAAGTTTTCAAAGGAAAAACATCGTTTAAGGTCCCCTGAGGTTTTAAAGGAAAATTCCACTGCTTCCACATATAAGAGGAGAATAAATTATGTAAAGGATACAATTGTTTAAGTATTTATGACATATTATCGATTTTTGGGAAGTTGAAGGATGAACGAAGTTGAAGTCAAAGGATCTGAGAAGTGGGGGGATCTTATTCAGGATAATTTCGAGAATTTAGTTTGTTGTAAAAAAGTTTAGATCAGATTAGCAGCAGAGGAAATATTGTAAACGTAAAGGTTGTTATTTTGTTGTGTAAACGTTGTAGGACTCCAACCTGAAGATAGTAAGTTCTTTTTTACCTGTTTGGAATAGTACTTAGATAATTCCCAATCGTCAAGACGGATTGGTTGCCTAAGGATCCTAGGGTGAGCATTGTATGGATTGTTTTTGGTCTACCAGTTCTTGGAGTAAAAAAGTCTTCTTGTGGTGGTTTGGAATAGGAAAGGCTGAGAATCGAATCCAAACCACTAGTTGTTTAATGTGTTTTAGAAATTTACGAGTTGTCTTGAGAAGTTTCAATGGACATCCTGAGGTCAACTGCATGGGGTAGCAATAGTTGAAGAGGTTCCAGTTTATTTGAACCCTGATAGTGGAGCCCGTTACGAAATAGATGTCTTAATCATAACAGCTATTCGGAGACGTCAAGGAAAGATGAGTGGGGTCGTATTCTCTAATACAAGGAAACAAGATTTTTCAAAGTTATCTTTCTCATTTTTTTTTTTTATTAAAAAACTTGCAGATATTCGTACAAAATCACAATTTCCACAGATTCGACATAGCTCTGCTATACGAACTAGTTTTATAAAAAAGTTAAGAAAAGAGACGAATATTCAGATACAGAACCCTAATTTATAGTTAAAAGTAAACCAATGAACTAAACACTGAATAAACAAGGATTTAGGTTTGGATTAAGGGTCGGAGGGAGGATCTTAATTAACGCTAACAACTTGGCCTCCAACTGGGGGCTCCAGGGTGTAAACGCAGCGGGGCAGAAAGTTACAGAGCATGCAAGGTCCCAACTTTAAGTGATAACTTGTTCTACGGCTCCAAGCACCTTGTACTGTCTCACTTCACCTTGCCGTAAATCTTCCATTTAAAGAGGTGCCACGTTATGTTTGATTTAACCAGATCAAAGTCCATGTTAATCATTCTTTTATCGACTAAAGTCCTTTAGTTGTGATTGCTGTTATCCATTGTTATGATTGGTTAATGCCTATTAATTGGTTAAATAAGTAATACTGGTTTTAAAGAATATTTTGAAATATACTGAAAGTACTGGAGTTCTTCCACAAGATTCAAACGTTCCGAAAGTATCAAATGCGGAAAGTCCAACGTCTTCAGGTGAGGTAGAGGAATTAAATGAGTTTATACCTATATTCATCAGTGGTTAAGACCGTCTTGAATTCAATTATCATAGGATCGAATCCCGGCCTCACTTCCCAATACGGCCGGTCCCCGCGGGAAGATAGACCATTACCCTCTTAATTGGGGAGGCCTACAGGTGTAATACTTGTAAGAACAGGCTATAAAAAAAAACCTATATTAGAATAATCACACTTGGTTTTACTATAATTTAATTTAAGCTCTGCTTTCTTATAATCCTTACGTACTTTTAATAGCGCTTTAATATTAGGGAATTACTTCAGGAAACAAATGAGGCTTTGTCAACTATTTGGCAGTTTTCAACTCTTCAGCACTCATTATCCTTAATTTCCTACACAAGGGATGCCACTATCTGATGTTAGGAAATCACTTAAGGAAACAAATAAGGCTACGTTGATAAACTTTATACCACAAAAACACAACACACCTTTATTGATCTACATAAACATCACACTATCAGGAACAAAGGACTACTACTGTCTGGATAATCTCAGCTAAGCCAAAACCTGCCTTTTTTCAAAAGCTACAGTGCTGCCTGATAACATGCATTTACTCTAAAAGCACCTTATTGGATTTCTATGATGAGAACATCGTTTAAATATTGAAGGGAGGAGGAGTTTTATTATAAATAATATCACAAATAGGAATCTTTGGGAGATTATCCAAGTTGTTTTAGAGTTTTTAAAGTTCTATGTTCAACAATCACACTGGTCTCCTGTTTAATTTATTAAAAATGAGCATGAACAAATTTTGCAGTGGATATATTTGAAATTAACAAATATTTTATTAAATTCAAGGTCTATGATTGAAATCTAGCTGATAGATCTGGAATGTAGAGGATAGATCTACAGCAATTAGATCTATCGGTCAGCAAGAATCCTTCATAATATGAACTGACTTGGTGCAGGGAGATGGACTATCGCTAATGATATTCAACTCAGCACTGAACAAGGAACATCATTTAAGAATGGAGGAGTGCACGTTTTATAGAGATGATATGTGGTCCTTAGAAGCAATCATCAGGACACTAAGAAACTGGCTAAGACTCAGATATGAAAATAAACCAAATATAATGTTTAAAAATTACACCCCAACAATAGGCTCTGCGCAGATGAGAAATTCTAATACCTCGACTCCACAACAACTTCAATGAAGGACTAACGGATATGAATGGAACAAAGTATTACACAGCGTTCGTTTCTTTACAAAGTAATGAAATCCCGAAATATCTAAATATGGCTGCGAAACCTGGAATCTAACTTGCATCCTAGATAGAATAATTGAAAGATTTGGGGAAGTCTCTACCAACAATGGATGTCTCCATAGTAGGCAATAGACCACCTGGAAGGCCAAAGCCAGATGGATAGATCGAACCAATGAAGATGCCGGAGAGCTGCATAAAGATGTTCGGAAAGCGATGGGCAGAGATGAAGAAGGCTGGTTAAGGTGGCTAAAGATTGTCAAGGTCTTTAGCCAACAGAAAAAATAATATATTACTTAGAAAATTGATCTCATGAATCAGGGAGCTATATTTGTCCTTGATAGCTGTTAAGGGTTTTATCTAACTAGGTCTTGAGATAGGGAGCATGCGACAAGGCACTAGGGGTGACTGCAGCGCCCCCTGCGATCGACACCCGGCGACAGCTTTCGCGTGATTCGTCCAAGCATGCACGTTCGGTAACCCAGCACTGCCTGACCCTTACCCATAAACCGCGAATTATAGGTAAATAAACTTCTAAATATAACACGAAAGTAAGTAAAGGCACTACTGTGCCTTCTCAATTAAGTTTCCCCCTTAACAATCCTTATCATGAAAACAAAAGAAACTTACACGTTTCTTCATGAGTCGTTATGAATATAAATTCATAATTGAAGATCTTTTTTTTTTCCTTGCCCCTGATGAAATAAAAACCACTCCTAAAAATTTAAAACCAGTGAAGAGCAATACATCACACAACGAGTCTAACTCATTCTATAAACCAATGAATTGAGCTGATCAATTAGGAAGGACTGGCGATCATGTCTCTCTAAAACAGAGTTACTATTATTTCCATCGCACCATGGATAACTCTTTTCGCTCTTTGGAAGGATTACTGATAATTGTTTCATCGATCAACTATCGCATTTTTTAGCAATGACGGCGGGTAAATTCACAGTTTATGCATATTTTATAGATTTTAGTGAAACAACTTTTAGATATATTTGCATTTAAGACGATTTCCATCGTAAAGTATTGTAGTGAACATCTCCCTGTATTACTCCTTTATGTGATATTGTGTGAGGGAATGAGAAGAAATATATAGGAATGTGAGGATGCACGATGAATTGTACTCAATTGTACAGTCGACAAATTGACAAATTGAAAAGTCTCATATCGATAAAAACTCGATAAAGGAGAAAGAAGGTTGGAATAGGACGGAGCAGGTAGCAACAGCAGGAGAAGACGATGTAGAGAAGAGAGAGGCACTACACTGAAGACTAAGAACATCAAGCCTACAGTTATAAGACTTTAATATATTCATTTATTATCAGTTGTTAAAATAAATTGTTTTGTTAGACAGGAGTGAATAGTTCTTCTATTTAGTTGCCCTATAGAGCTCGTAATTGAAGAATAACAAACCAGGTGAGTCAATTCATTCAAAGTGTATTTACTAAGTCCACATTTCAAATATATATTCTTATTGTTTCTTGTCGCTCAGTGTCACAAAAAGTATTAGGTTCCCGAATTCCCAACGACAGTTAAACACCCCCAAAAAGTCTATATCCAGTGCCGGGGTTTTGTTTTAATATTCACGAGTGTAAATGACCTAGTCCCCGATAAAGCGGAAGAATATTTACAATTTCCGCCAAAAGGAATATTTACAATCAAAATTTTTAACATGTTATATACAGCATATACAAAATAAACTTTAATTATAACACTAAAAAAAAAAAAACAGGTCGATAACACTCAGCAACAGAACTAATTTAAAAACATCTCTTGTTTAATAAAATATAATTTTGTTTTTTAATACATAAAGAATAACAAAAATAGAAAAAAAATATGAATTCTATAACCAACCAAATATTAACTATTTATTCTAAATTCGATTACATAACAAACATATATGCTTTCTCCCAGATATTAACCTACAAATACAATCCTTGAAACGAAAACAGGCGGTGCACTAATGGGAATAAAGTTTCGTTAAACCATGTCACAGAAAAATTTATTTTTATAAATTAAAGTATAATTCTTATAAAATAGAAAGTTTAATACAATTATGGAAAACAGTGGAGGGCGGGGGGTGGCCGAATGGGCTAACGCGTGTGCACAGCACTGCGAGTGGCCGGGCAATCAGATAACCGAAGTTTTGAGAGATTAAAAAAAGTACGAGTTAGCATCCCGGTGCCGGAGAGGATTTTAAATTCTCCACCCTCACCCCCGGTCCGGGAAAACCCCGTATAGCCTAAAAGGCTAGAGTAAACAACTTTAAAAAACTGAATAAATTACATAATTATTTTTAAAAAGTGTGAAATAAGAGAAAGATTTTTTAAATTTTTATTTGTATTACATTTACTTCTAATTAAAAACGAATAAAATGTCGACCATACTTTTCATCTCTATGATTTAAATTTAAGTATCCCTAATTTAAAATTAATGATGATAAATAAATAAATAATAAGCTCGGAATAAATAAAAGAACTTACATTGTTGCGAGCAGTTACATCGCAGCCGAGGTCGATGAGGCGGTCCATGTAAGTCGTTCTGTTCTCTTTGACGGCGTACATCAGCGGCGTCATTCCATTCGCCTGCAAGGAGAAATAATAAAATAAATAAACTGGAAAGAGAAGACATAGTTTAATAATGATTTTAACATGAATAGTCATGCCATTCTGAACTTAGTACACGTGTCCTTTTGGAAATTCAATCTTCTTTACATTATTTTTTGATAGCTCAAAACTACCAGTAGATGCCTAATGGTTTTTTAGAATCATACAACTTGTCTAAACAACCCTATGATAGGAAATATATTTTTTAAATATTTTATAGATTCGACCCAATCTTAGCAAACACATTTTCCCTGTATGGTAAGGAAAGTCGTGTTTGGAAACACGCCACATATATCTGATTTATAACTATTTGAAGATAATAAACTTTTGTTTTATAATTTGCAAAGCTTTAAAATACTAATATTTTTTATTTAGCTTTAATGTAACAATTAAATCCTTTTTTTAAAATAAAAAATTAGAGGAAAACAGAACGTCAGTATGGAGTTATGCTGCTCATTTATTTTTTTAAAAAATTGTTACGCTTGAACTAATTAATTTAATTGTGTCAAATTTTATAAACTAAAAACGATGTATGAAACTAGTTTTTTTTATCTAAAACTTCCTGTTATTAAAGTATTCAATTTAATTTGTTTATTTTACAAAAAAAAAACAAGCCATTGTTTATTTTCAAGGCGTTTTGAATCACTTATTAAAACAGATTAATTACAAAATCTCAATTTTAACTACATTTTTGTATTATTTATAATCCTACTGAAATATCATTTTCCTATATATATATTGGGCATACCAACTTTATTTTTCTTTTCATATAATTTGTATTTTCAGTCTGACAACACTCGATGGCACAAGAATGATAGCAGTAAAAAAACTCATCAGCGAACACAAAAACTCACCAGCGAATGCTGAAGAATGTGCAACGATTAGAATTCCATGAATCCGTGATTGATGTGCCATTGAAATGAACAGTCACCAGATTGCAAGCGTTAGAGTTCAGTCTTAGAGCGGTAATGTCTGCCACAAGAAATCCATACAAAATCTTCAGTTTCTAGGCTGTATCTCCCAAGAAAACAAGTTGGAAGAGGACTCGTTAACCTTTTGAAAAGCTGTCGAGAACAGTAGAAGCAGCTGAAAAAATTTATTGTCCATAGCGATCCACAAATAATAGCTAGCATTATGACAATGTAAAAAAACCTAACTGCATTATGGAGCAATAACAGGCCACAATGTAGATTTTGCAATGCTCTGACTTCAGCAGGTATTAATCATTACGCCTCAGCTGAATGGTTTTGAAAAAGGCAACTGTTTTTTGGAAACAGAAGGTATTTTACTTTCTATATAGAACCAAGTAGCAGAACCTAATTCGTTCCGCAAGTATATATTTAATCAGGACGTTAGAGATAAATTGCGACTTAGCAAAGGAGCAATGGAGTCCATTCAGCACATAACAACTGGCTGCACAATATTAGCAGAGAAAGAATATCTTGAAAAGTAAGACAACTTGGCAAAAGTAAGTCACCAAATTCTGCCCAAATATAATAAATTTACTGAGGGATCAAAACCTTAATATCGTTACTCTTCGCAGTCTATGTTTTCTGATATAAAAAAACAACAATCTATTGTGATCAATCTATAATTACAGACCAAACAATAAACCTGATATTCTGGTTATACAAAAATAAGGGGAAAACGGCTGCAATAATTGAGATAGGAGCCCTCACCGATAACAATGTTCGAAAAGTGGTTGAAGAGAATAAAAGGAAATATCATGAGATCAGTCAAGAACTGAAATAACCTTACAGCCCTAAAGAAGGAACGTTGTTGATCTTCATTATTTCAAGCTATGAATCGGTCCCGGAGGAAACGGCAAAGTATATGAATTTGCTGATTATATCCTAGAAAGACATAGAGCTGTGCTAGTAGAAGGAGTGCCCACCCCCGTTAAGATCGACGGCGCATGAATCTTCCCCCACCTTTCCCAAGATATTTTATTGTCCTCCTCTTCTTAAAAACAGTGAAAAAAAAAGATTTAAAAAAATCGTTGATTATATACAATTACACATCCTACAATCTGTTCTATGCTTTCATTTGTCTTTTGATTTAAAGCTTTTCATTTCTTAAATTCATTACTCCATCGAAATGTGACCCTCTCATAAATTCAAAACCCCGTCAAAAAATGTCAAAAATTTTGATGGCGCAACATAAGCCATGAAACCCCCTTCAGGGCACCACTAACTAGTAGGGAAACTAGCATTTTAAAATATTTTCTAAACAGATCCCAGATAGGTCAACATTCTCGGCAATGGCTGAGAAAATACGAAATTAAAAAAAAAAAAAAGATAAAATGCAGCTTAATACAAGGGTGAACTATTATAAAAACAAAGAAACAGGCCATAAATAAAATAATAGTACCATAATTTATACTCGAAAACATTAGAAAGAACAACACCTGGTTCGAATAATTGTCAAATGAAGTTTCTTTATTCACAAAACATTGGTGAGTATCAGCTGAAAAGTGCTGCGTTGGTCAGATACGGGTAAAAGAAAAAAAAATCCAACATAAAACATTTCTTACTAGCAATAATCCCTACATATTTAAAAAAAAAAAACGGCAATTAAACTAGAATATACTGTTGTCAGAAATTAAATTAAATTTAATTAAGTTACCACATCGTTGAATCGGAATCTTATCATAACGTCACTACGGAGTGAAACATCTAAACATGAAGAATTTCCAACTGCTATTCACACGTGTGCAAGCCAAGTTCAACTGAATCCTGCCCTAATGTTCCATTTTCGTGACAACGATTCACTATGTGTTGTAAATAAAACGTGCACAGAAGAAATAAAAATTGTATCCAGGTATCTTCTCGAGACAACAGGTTAGAAGAAAGTTCTTAACCTGAAGAACTAGGTTGGAACACGAACCTAGCCCATCCCCTTGCAAGGTCTAAGCTATATATCCAACATCGGCTGATCCTATCGCCGCCATATTCTCAACAAGACCGTTTGGGGTGAAATAGTTCGATTGAATTCGACTTTTTAAATAATACCCGAGGACTTTAAGAAAATAATCGAACTGCGTGCAAATTGAAACTGATGAACTAACTAATTCAAAGTCATAGTAAAATTAATTAACATATTAGATAAACATTTCTAAAATTTGTTTGATACTACATTAAATATTAATTTTTATTATAAATGAGAAATATAAACTCAATTTGGCCTGGACGAATAATCCACAGAATATATTGTTTATTTCCAAACATCTGGTAGAAAAACTGGAGAAACTCAACGTTGGTTTGAATTTCATTTGGCGCCAGTTTATTGAAAACAAAGACATAGCTCTACCCAAAAAGTTGCAAGTATTTAATTCCGTTAGTAGGGCAGTCATATGTATGGAGCAAAAATCTGGGGGGGGTAAGTTATGAAGCCCTGGAAAGACTACTAAGATTCTTTCTTATAAAATTATTTAAATTACCAAAGTATACTCCAACACATTTTATTCACTTTGAGACTAAAATAGATCCGTTATTTATCTTCACAATTAAACTCCATTTTGATTACATTATAAAAATTTTTAATCTTCCACCACATAGATATCCAAAAATATTAGCACTAGAGATAATTAAAAAAGAAATCGCATGGTTTAGGGACTTACCTAATCTGATAGAACTGCATGGATTTAATTTCAACTTCAATCGATCTAACTGTGATAATGTTAAACTATGGAGAGCTAATTTATATTTACTAAGAACTCAAATTCAGAAATACATATATAATCAATATGTAATTAAAGTTCAGAATTCTAAAACTTTCACTTTATATCTTCATTTAACTTCAGTAAATTATATTGATGACAAAAGCTCATTGAAGGTGATCAGATGGCAATTAAAATTAGAGCTGATGTTTTGAACATAAATTATAAATACACTTCGAAACAAATAATAATTTAGCATGTAATACAAACGAAACAGACTCCTCATCACTTCTGGCTGCTTGTCTGAACTCTCTGAATTTAGAATTAAATGTTAAATCTAGAAATTTATCTCGGGATCAAGTAATAGATTTAATTTAAATAATGGAAACAATTGATTAGCATTGGTAAATTACTGCAAATCTGCTTTCTCCTATAGAATAATGCTCACCAGATAAATTTAACAATTAATAAATTGGAGAATTTTGGTACCACTCTTTTTTTAAATAAAATATTTATATAACTTTTACATTGTAAATATAATTGTCCTTATTTTCTTATTAATTAGTTGTACATAAATAGATTGAAATGTAATTTTGTTATAGAACACAGATTCCTCTGACGGTCAACAGACCATGTAGCACGTCTGATTTTCGGTTTTAAATACAAAAATATTATTTTTTAATTGATATTATGTAATTTTGATAAATAAAAAGACTTTTTCTTCTTCTTCGTCTTTTTCTGTTGTTTATTGAAGGGACAGGAACAAAATAATAAATTATGTACCAGGAAGGAAAAAATTAAATACAGCATGTTCTTAATACAATTTTTTTCCTGAAATTTCGGGGCGATTTGACTATTTTTTGCATCTGAAGGAGAAGAGTATCTTCAAAATGAGGAGTAAACCATTTATTTGAAAAAGTTGACGACGATGTTGCCTACCGACAAAACCACCTTTGAGAAATAATATAGAAAGATTAAGTTGTCAAAGTTGAAGTCAGTAACAATAAGGAATCGATATAAAAAAAAAGTCATCTTTATAACTGATTTCTACTCGACTTTAAGTTTTAGATATCAAGAAACAAACGCGGTTCCGAATCTGTGCCTAGCCAAATCCATGTGACCTTATTACAGACCTTCTTAGAAATTGTCAAGCTAATAAATGATACTCTGCTGGAAGTGATTGGGTTTTCCAGCAGGATTCCGCTCCAGCTCACAAGGCCAGATCAAATCAACAGTGGCTGCAAAAGAACATTCCAGAGATCCCGGATTGGCCATCAGGAAGCCCTGATCTCAACCCACTAGATTATCGGCTTTGGTCCGAACTGCAGAGGATGGCATGCCGCAGATCACACCCTAACTTGGAAAGCCTCTAGCAATCTCTAGTCCAAACAGTTGAGCACTTTCCTCAAGAAGTGCTTTGTGCTGTTATTGATGATGGCCACGGAGATTAAATACATGTATCAAGGCAAAAGGGAAACATTTTGAGTAATTCCTTTTTTATTTTACTTTATATAGATATACATTTTATTTTCTAATAAAGTTTTGGAAAAAATGAATTTTTCTGTATACATTTCCTTGTAACAATATATATGACAGGAGTAGGTATTTACATAACACTGTGTGAAATTCACATACACATATATAGTCCGTGGGACAGACCCCTTTTTATCAAATTATTAACATCCGGCTGAAACTTCTTAAATAGCTTCATCTCATCTTAACCTACAAATATTTTATTTACAAAAATTCTCGAAATTGGAGCGTTTTCAATCTGGAGGTTGGCAAACTTTGTCTATTTAATTAGGTACTAAAACCTCGTAAATACCTATTTGCTCACTTGGATCATGATATAATAATGATAAAAAAAAATCGATAAAAAAGGTGACACAAAATTATTGGACCGTTTAACCCATATAACCTCGTAATTTTGACAATTTGGGGTTGTAGATCCCGCCAAACGGGTTAATATTTTTGAAGGCCATCTTTTTTCTAAACTTTGTTTCTCAACAAGGTATCTTACGATTCTAGTGGAAAACAAATGGGTATTCACGAGCTATTATTACTTAATTAAATAGACAAAGTTTGAAGACCTCCAGATTGAAAACGCCCCAATTTCTAGAATGTTCGTGAATAAAATATTTGTAGGTTACGATGAGATGAAGCTATTTACGAAGTTTCAGCCGGATGTTAATAATTTGATAAAAAGGGTCTGTACCACGGAATAATAGTTATTATACCTCAACATATCATCAAATAA